TTTTTCGACATCCGCGGTGATTGCTACTTGTCCGATTCGAAATCTCAGTGACATGTGGAGCATTGTAGGAACTAAGGCCGTGCCTCGCTGCAGCGCAACATTCAGTAATGGTTGATCTTCAAGGTGTGCTTACGTCGTACACGACTCGAAGCTTCGTGAACTCCTTATCCGGAGTGAGTACAACTCGCTGTGTGAGGCAGTGAAATCTGTTTTGTTGGTCAGTGAACCTTTCGGAAACTTCTTCGAGTATCCTCATGCTGATCTGTTCCGCAAAATACTGCTCATACTGCCCAAGAACTTGTGCTCAACAATGTTGAGCACAGCCTCTTGTATGCCAGAGTCTTGTTGTCCGGTAGTTTGAATGCTTCTCCTGTCCATGGAAGCCTGACGTGGTATTCGTTGTGTTCGATGTAATCGTTGTTTCGAATGCTTCCCATGCCGCTCGGTCTGTTCATTTTTGTTCTTGGGCTTGAAATCCCGAGAAATCGTGTAAACTTGCTGATTCGGAGGCCAGAAAGCGTTCCCACTTCTCTCGCCCATTTCTCTTTTCTTCGTCTTCTTCGGCTTGCACGACCGTCATGGTTTCCACGACTCCGTCCCGTTGGCGTCCCGCAACGAAGTAGCCAATGCGAGAAGGAATCAGCTCGATTCCCGGCGGAAGCTGCCAGATCTGTTGATTTCTCTTTGGAGTGGCGGAAATACGTCGCTGCATCCCAGGGGAACCTGGAATGTGCCTGCTGCACATGAGCTGGAATCGACAACTGAATGCCGTGATCCGCTGTGAATTGAATGTCGTCCTTCGTAAGTTTGTCCTGCCTCAACGGCTTGAGATTATTGACTTGTTGTTTGCGACCGAGAAGCAGTGAGCGTTGCCCGAAGGAACCCACAATTTTGTTCCCGCATTGTTTCTCAATGGGTGCCTGAGATCCAAAAGTGCTGATCATGAGCGTAACTGTATCTTGAGTTTATAGGTTTAGGCGATCTGCTAGGCTTTGAGTGGTAGGCGATCCATCCGCTCTCGTGTCGAGCAGGATGTGCAGTCGTTCCCTACTATCCGTCACTGTGTTCTGAGCGAAAGCTGCTTCCGGAAGGACGAAATACTTGGTGCCTTCTTCCGTGTTTTTCATACAGAGACGCGTTTCGTGACGCTTTCTTGCGGTTCCTCTTCCTCTGTCGGTAGGGCTGCAGTTGACAGAAGATCTGTTTCGTTTGTCGGGCTTCCGTCGCTCTGATTTTTGGCTTTGTCGTGGGTGTTGTCGTGCCGATTTTATCGTTCGATGGAGGTGTTTTAGCGCAAATCGATGTATGGTGTCCATGCTTCTCACAAGACCGGCATGGGCCTCTGGTACTTTGACGAGCCATATGATTTGCTGATCCGCAATTTCGGCATAGAGATCGTTTTCTCATTTCTTCCGATCTGTCTTCTCGCGTCTTGAACACCGGATACTTCTTTGAAGGATGGTCTTTTCGATCACAGTAGAAACAAGAAGTTGTCTTTGAATCGTCTTTGTGCTGACGATGGATTGCGCCATGGTCCCTTCATTCTTGCCTGTTGTTCTAGCTGAACTCTGTTTCTCTCATCCGCGGACGTTTTTCGTCACTTCGAATGTGGCGATGAATTTCGATTTCCGAGTGAATTTTGTTGGACAGTACTTGAAGGAGCATCTTCGTGTTCCATGTTCTCCTTCCTTGATTTCTTGCTTCTTCCGTAACGCATGTCTTTGTACCGGTTCTGCGAATTTTGACAGGATCAGTCTTTGAAGCTTTGAGCTATCAGTGACCTCTCCTTGAATTTCCGTCTGAATCACGATCGGCGAAGTCTTTTCGTACAGTCGTCGTCGCTGGTCTTCTAACCTCTCTGTTCTGGCTCGGCATTCTCCTAGCCGATCAACAAGTTCTCCCACAAGAAGTTGTTTGTTTCCGTACTTTTTCTTGTGATGTTCTACTGCCAGCGCGTATGTTCTTCCGCTAACTTCGAATTGTTTGAGTGATTCTCTTGCTTCTCCTGTCAGAACGTCAAGCAAGTAGTACATTTTGTACGCGTCGTCGATACCCCTCGAATGGACTGAATGCTCGAAGGCACTACAAAAACACTCCCATTCCCACACTATTCCTCCAAACTTAAGGATGGGCAGTGGAGGAAGTCGTATTCGTGCGGTTTCTTCGACCATTTCCTCGGTTCTGTAGTTGCTAACAGATTACTCGTCTCTATGCGCAACTCGAGTTCAAGTATGGTTACTTATGCCCTTATTAGCTGCGCTTTTGAGAGTTGGCTGGCACTTTTTCAAGTAGAGCTTGGAGTTGCGGAGTATCATTACTCATTTCGTCTGCGGCTGCTGTGTATGCATCTGGCATCTTGTTCAAGTTGTTTTCTGCCACTTCCAATTTTCTTCTGACATTGCATGTGAAATTTGTTTTCTCGTTCTTGAATCCTTCGTTCAGCTTCTTGTTGCGGTACTTGGCTTTCAATCGCGACTTCTCTCTCACATTCCTCCAGGAAGGTTGAAAGTTTTCCTGCCATTCTGATTAGTAGACTTTGTCACGTAGAGAGCGACGACGTCATCTTGAGTTTCTTCGCTATGTTCCGGAAGTTGTTTTCCACTGCTTCAGTAGTTCTTCTTTCCAGCTGTTACGGTGATCCCTCTTCGCGACTGCTCGATGTTCGTCTTTTGGACCCGATGCACCGTATACAGAATATTTCTCCGCTAATCCTTTATTCGTCGACAGTCCGGTACGTACGGTACGTGGATTCGTTCCGACGAGATTTACCTCCTGCCCCTTCTACAGGAGCAGCGGCTTTTATACTTTAAGAATTCT